GACATGACACTCTGCAATTTGTTGTAAATAAAAAAATATTATACAATATCAAATTAGTTTTAATTCTATTATACAATATCAAATTCATTTTAATTATATTATACAATATCAAATTAGTTTTAATTATACTATACATATCAAATTAGTTTTAATTACTTTACATCAAATTTATCTTGAAAGTTAGACTAGCCAACGAAACTATTCAATTAAGAGGCTGATTCCTTTGCCCAATTCCCAAGAGAGATAGATAACACCTGCTTGATCAGAGATGCTCTACCAGTTATCTCCTTACACTAAACTCATTAATTTCTCTCTAATTTGACATGCTATTTTCTGTTATCAAAATTCTTCTTGACCAGTGCTTGATAATTACACCCATGGGAGAGATGGAATTTCTCTTATAACACATTTACATTTGTTACAGATTGCTGTAAAGTATATAATGAAAAAAATAAGTATTTACTTGATTTAACATTTTTTAAATAAGGATACTGTTTATACTCTTATATCTTTTGGGATTTTGTAACTTAAAAGTTCTTAAATTAAAGGTCACAGTGACCTAGAAATAGGTCGCGACACACCTTCTAACTAAGATGCATATATTGGAAGAGTTTGATGATTCTAGGTCTAATAGTTTTCTAGTTATGAGCCAGACAGGATTTTCCATATTTGGCCATAGCATCTTAATTACAGGTCAGAGCGACCTACTTTTAATGCGCGACACACCTTCTACCCAAGATGTATCAGCTGACAAAGTTTGATAATTCTAAGCCTAATAGTATAAAAGTTATCAGCCGGACACGAAAAAGCTAACAGATGGACGGACATGAACGCCATAACATAATACTCTTAATACTCTTTATAGTCTTAAGACGGGCAAATAAAAAGAATGAAGCATTTGTATTCTAAAATGCCAGCCTTCAGTGAATGCAAATATCACCCACGCTTGACCTTAACTTCAAAACAAACATCAGTTGCAGATAAGGGTGTTAATTTATCTGAAAGTGACAGATAAAGATAACCCTCTAAAATTTTCTGCAACCGGCAAGATAATCAATCCCAGGGAATTAATTGTACTGCTCTCTCATTCTTTTCTTCTAAGTTTACAATAACAACTTTTTTTAGCAATGATAGAATGTGGTTATTATCTGACTACATGTTAAAATTAATAGTATTCTTGAATTTACATAAGAAAAAAAAAGAAATAAAATAAGATAATAATAAAAAAGATATCTTTATATATGTCTTGTTTTTAGAATTCAATAAAATCATAACTTATTGTGTATTTTACCAAAAAAAAGTATGAACATTATTTAAATCCACATTTCAGAGAATGTAAACATCATTCAGAATTGACCTTAAGTCCAAAACAAACTTCATTTGCAGACAGAGGTGTTAATTAATCTCAATGTGACAGATAAAGATAAATGCTTTGGATTTTCTTCAAGAGAAAAGTTAAACTGTACAACCTATCACTTCTATTTGAAGCCTCTAAGTATCCTGTATATTTAGAAAAAGCCTTGAAATTTCAAAGGTAGGTCATCATGACCTACATTTTAGATTAAAAAAACCTCTGAGAACTCAAGATGATTCCAAGCCAATTAGTACCTGAGAGTAGGTCATGGTGACCTACTTATCACTTGTCATTCTCTGAGGACCCAAGATGCATGAACTAAGTTTGATGATTCTAAGCCAAATAGTACCTGGAATATTTATATAAAGCCATTAAATTTCAAAAGTAGGTCATGTTGATCTACTTTTCAGTTGACATACTCCAAGAACCCAAGATGTAAAACTGACAAAGTTTGATGATTCTAAGCCAATTAATACCTGAAATATTTCATTATAGCCATATAAATTGAAAAGTAGGTCACAGTGACCTACTTTTCAGTCGATGTATTCCAATCACCCCAAATGCATCAACCAACAAAGTTTGATGACTCTAAGCAAATTAGTACCTGAAAATATTTAAATATAGCCATAAAATTACAAAAGTAGGTCAGAGTGACCTACTGGTACATTTAAATCGACTTACTCTGAGGACCAAAGATACATCAACTGACAAAGTTTGATGATTCTAGGCCAATAAGTACCTGAAATATTTAATCAAAGCCATAAATTTTCAAAAGTAGGTCATGGTGACCTACTTTTCAGTCGACTTACTCCGAAGACCCAAGATGCATCAACTGACTAAGTTTGATGATTCTAAGCCAATTAGTACCCCTAATATTAATTACAGTCATATAAATTGAAAAGTAGGTCATGGTGACCTACTTTTCAGTCAACCTACTCTGAGGATCCAAGTTACATCAACTGACAAAGTTTGATGATTCTAAGCCAAATAGTACCCAAAATATTTAAACAGCCATAAAATTTCAAAAGTAGGTCAGGATGACCAACTTTTCAGTTGCATCAACTTACAAAGTTTTATGATCATAGCCCCTAAAATGTCCAAAATATGCCTCTAAAACACTTTGAAATCGAAAGCCTGCAAAGTTCAAAAAGTAGGTCACTGTGACTTACTTTTTAATAAATATGTTTTATGGCCCCAAGATGCATCATCTTACAAGATTTAATGATTCTAATCCTCTCAGTATTCAAATTAATGACCTTAAATGTTTTGAAAAAGATAAGCCATAAAATTCAAAAAGTAGGACAAGGTGACTTTTTTTTAGTTGCCGCACTCAGAGGACCAAAGATGCATCAACTGACAAAGTTTGATGATCAAAGGCCTTAAATTGTTCAAAATATGCCTCTAAATCATTTTGAAAAAGAATGGCCACAAAATTTAAAAAGTAGGTCACTGTGACCTACTTTTGAGTCAACATGATATAAGCTCCTTAGATGCATCAACTGACAAGATTTGATGATCGTAGTCCTTATAGTAAGCAAAATATCAACATTTTAATAAAATGTAATTTTTGGTCAACTTTGAAGTGATCTTGAGACCATTCCCTTTGCCCCAGGGCAATTCCCCGTGCAAAATTTTAATCTACAACATATCCTCATCCTTTTGTGTAAGTTTGGTGATAATCTGCCAGTGGTTCTTGAGAAGAAGATTTTTTAGCAACCAGTACTTTTGGTTTTATTTACTTAATTATCTCCCCTTGTTTAAGGGTCACAACCCAAATTTTAGTATAAACGGGAGCCCTTGGGCCAAGGATAAATTTGACAATAATTGGCCAAGGGGTTCTTGAGTTATGTCCCATATTCTTTAAAGTTTACGCACACTGCAAAAATGGCCATAGCATTAGCTCTTTGATGCTGAAAAAATGAATTCCTAATGTTCTTTTCAATTATTATTATAGAAACATTAACAATATCTAAGGTATGACGCTTTTGAGATATTTTCATTTTTCATTCCAAACATTTAGAATCTGTAGCTCTGATTATGGTAATCTTTCGTGATCATGGTGATTGGAAAATTATTTTTCAAGACTGCCATCCTTTGCAAAACATATGAAGGCATATATACTTGCATAAATTAATATTATGTTTGTTTTGTTTGTTTGTGTGTTGTTTAACGTCCCTCTCGAGAATTTTTCACTCATATGGAGACGCCACCACTTGCCGGTGGAGAGCTGCAAATTTTGTCCTATGCTGGGCACCTATGGCCATTGAGCAGTGAGGGGTCTTTTTCGTGCCAACACCTACTGCGACACGGGACCTGGGTTTATACGGTCTCATCTGAAGGACCGGTCTCCACATCCCACAGTGGGATTCGAACCCGCAACGTAAGGATCAACTCCTTACCTTGCGACTCTAGAGCAGCTGCTCTAACCACTGCGCCACGCGGGTGACAATATTATGTTAAAAACAAAGAATAAAGAAGTTATATAATATTAAATTTGTGAATCAAATAAGTTAATACATGTGAAAAGATGAGGTTCATTTTCATGTAAGAAGTCATGAAAATCAGAAGAAATGGGTTGGTGTTTGGTCTTTGTCCAAGACAGAGCTTCTGGTAAAGTCAGCAGCATTGAGCGGCATTTGTCCAAGACAGAGCTTCTGATAAAGTCAGCAGCATTGAGTGGCATTTGTCTAAGAGAGAGCTTCTGGTAAAGTCGCTGACTTTACCAGAGGCACTGTGTTGGACAAATGCCACTTAATGCCGCTGACTTTACCAGAAGCTCTGTGTTGGAAAAATGCCGCTTAATACCGCTGACTTTACCAGAAGCTCTGTGTTGGACAAACGCCACTCACTTAACCAGAAGCTCTGTGTTGGACAAATGCCACTCAATGCTGCTGACTTAACCAGAAGCTCTGTGTTGGACAAATGCCGCTCAATGCGGCTGACTTTACAAGAAGCACTGTGTTGGACAAATACCATGTTTTGACTCTTAGAAAAGTTTTTTAAAACATCTTACCCAAGATATTTCTTAGTACTGGTAGTATTCTATAAACTAAAAGTAATCTTTCGTGACTTCTTACATGAAGGAATAGCCAAAGATGACAAATCAAATTGTATTGTGATGGTGAGTTTCTTCATCTTCGCCGTGTCTTCCTTGCTATCGTCGCTGCTATTTTTATTATAATGTTAACAGATTTTTTATATTTTTTCTTGTGGACAAATCTAAAATATAATGTTGGATATTCAATTTCATATCGATAAAATCAGTGATTTGGTCATCAAAAACGCGGAAATTTAGGTTGTATCACGTATATTTTAGCAAAATTAATGTGAAGAGCTGATCAGCCATTGTCGCCTTTGACATCCCAGGGTCACGTGATCGTTAACTAATTAACTTAGATTTTAATTTGAAGTTTTCATTTGAGTCAATGATTGGTTAATTAACGTGGTTTGTCTGCAGTAAAATCTGCACAAAATTTATAAACTGTGGTCATAAGAAACGTTTTACACTTTCAATTTCAAATAATTTGGAAACATGCGATAAGTCCTTTAATATGGGCATATAAAAACCACTCTTCTTCCTATGACAGTTACACTTATTTCTAGTGCATGATAGAAAATTAAATTGCTGTTGAACTGATTTTCTCACGTGATTTTCCTCCTTCATGGCTCTCTGAAACATTTCCCATTCTTCATCCATTTTATCTTTGTATTCTACTTGACGCACCTACAATAAAAGTGATATAAAGCATTAAAATGATGTACAAGTGTTGTTTTTTGCAATCTGATGTATTTTGCTATATGTAAATTTTTATATTAGCTATTTAAAACTATATAGTCCTACCACATTTATTATGTTATAAAGTATCTTTGATTCATGTACTTAAGAAGAGGTCTATGGGTCCGTACTCATCTGAGTCACCTTGGCCCCACTGTTCTTCATCATCAGATTTTTTAAATATAGATCCTCCCTTTAATATTTATGAATCCTCAATATGTTATGAACATATGAACATGTTAGTCTCATCCTTGTACCTTAGCCATGGGTAGATTGGTCAAATATTTTACATTTTTTGGTAGAGATTCTGTGATGGTACATATTGTTGTTCTGTATATATTGTCATCAGAGACAATATTGCACATATTGTCACCCCAGAGATATTGTTGCTTTAATTAATTAGGATTTTTTTGTGTAGTTTTTGAATGTAATTGGTGTGCAAACCACACTGATGTGTCTTGTATGCTATTTCATGCAGCCCAATTGTGATGGTCCATATTGTCATCCTGTTCATATTGTCACTGGCAACAATGTGTACCTACCCTCACTGCACATATTATCATCCATCAGTACATGTCACATGACAGTACATGACAATGCTTTCATATACCAGGTAAATATGACTTATCATTGCTTTGCTGTTCTTGAGAGGAAGATTTTTTAAGAATTTTCCTATATACTCCTATGAAAAACTTTGATTGCCCATTGTAACCCCACCATAGCTCTGGAGGTCTTGATTTGAAGGAACTTGAATCAACGCTTCCATATAAATATGATTAATCATGGGCTTGCTGTTCTTGAGAAGATTTTGAAAGTTTTTCAGTACATATTCCTATGTAAAACAATTTTCTACATGTATTTTGAAAGCTTTATTAAGTCAAATAAAAATTTGGCCAATGATAAAGGATTCTACAAGTTAAATGGCCGATTCTCGAGGTTTGGTGTATTATTTGATTTATTAATGCCATGCTACTACATATATACTTCATCATATTTTTGAAAACGTACCTCAGCAGTACATGCAAAATTCATATTATTTGCGAGAGAGAGATAAAGAGAGAGAGAGAGAGAGTTGCGTGGGAATGTCCATTCTGCTTTGACTCCAAATATTTATAAGTCAATTCACTTATCTGAATATAAACTCATTGCATTATTTATTTATTTATTTATTTTGGCCAGGGTATTGTCAGGGTTTACGTTTTCAACACTTCAGCTGCTCGTCCTTAAATATGGAACATGAATCTGTTTTATTGACCATACATGTAGGAAAGAATTATTAATACAAATCATGAATATACTGAGGCAATGTTAGTCTTCTAGACAATATTTTTTTCATATATTCGAGGTATAACGAAATATTGCTTAAATGTCATTTGTATTTTCAAAAAGTTGACATCAACACTTTTGTTATTAATTAATGGCAGATCTATTTTCCTTACATGTAACTTCCAGAGATATAGTTTGATCATTCTATAAGTGTTCAACATCTGTACAGGGGTGACTGGTCACTATTTATTTATTCGATAAAATTAATGCAAAGCCGAATGGATCAATGTCCACTGACCATGACACTGAGCTGATTAAAATTTGATAATGTTACATAATGTGTATGGGCACCTAACAACTGTCTTACGTGCACCATGTGTCTATATTCAGTGTGACTACTTGTATATATACATGTTATAATGAATGATTTGATATACTCTATATCCTAGTTGTTAACAAGAAAACTAAAGCCAAAAAAAAAAAAGTTAAATTATCCTACTTAATTTGCTTAAGGTTTGATAACCTGATAACATTCTGAACTTATACTCGGCCTTAATTCTTCAAATGATTTTTGGCGTATTACAAAATATGAAAGTCGCCCTCGTGGCACAGTGGTTAGAGCGTTTGCTCTAGAGTCGCTGAGTAAGGAGTTGATCCTTACTTTGTGGGTTTGAATCCCACTGTGGGACATGGAGACGGGTCCTTCAGATGAGACCGTATAAACCGAGGTCCCGTGTTGCAGTGGGTGCTGGCACGAAAAAGATCCATCACTGCTCAATGGCCCTGAGTGCCGAGTATAGGTCAAAATTTGTAGCTCTCTACCAGCAAGTGGTGGCGTCCCCATATGAGTGAAAAATTCTGTGGACGTTAAACAATAAACAAACAAACAAAATATAGAAAAGTTTAATCAGTTGTTACGCTTGAATACTTCAATTTTCCTTACTTTCATCACTTTGAACTAATGCATTTCTATGGAGAAATTTTTCTAATCATTTTCCGATGAATGTAATGTCAACTTTAGTCACCAAACTACTTTTCACTGTATGTTTTCATACGATGATTATCAATGTTTAATAATCTTTCCAATAACCATAAGAACCCGACTGTTTTATAAACTAATACTCTCTCAAACGAATGATAATGTTCTTTTCATTATTTTAATTCACCTTCTGTAAATCTATTGTTTCTCCCTGTGTGCTTTAAAGGAAATATTTTAATCATGTGTTTCTATTTTTAAACAATACAAAAATCAGAAGCCTGAAAGGCTTCAATGGCATCTGACACAAAAAACAATTTCAAAACATTTTTTTTAATTTAAAGATAGCAGTAGGTCAAATAATTAACTAATAAAAATGTTAAGTTTTAAACAAAATGTTAAATTTACAGTCCGGGACATTATGCCATGGTCCGAATAGAGCACGGATCGAATTGACTAGACACCATCGAAAATGTTCATGCTGGATATCAAACTCATTTTTTTTTCAGTCAATTAAAGAAATATCAAGGATTTAATGAATTTATATGATTATTATTCTAATTGTTAATGTCTAAGCATTGTTTTAGTGCATCTAAACAACAACCATAACTCGCTCTGTTGCGACTATGATCGAGATATGATCGGGCATGGTAGGCCTATATGGTAAAATATGATATGGAAGAAATGGTGAAATACAGTAATAACTTCAGTTTTTATGATAAAATTGGTTATAAGATTGTAAAAAGTAAGGTTTACATTTGGAAATTCAATCCTTTTAGTCTTCTAGCATTCGTGTTAATTTAATATTGTGGTTATTTTACCGCCTATTAATATAAGTTGTTTGTGTTTACATGGTTCTCCTTCGTAAATGTTATTCATGTCATTCAACACAGCCTTTCTTTAGAAATTCATACGCAAGAACTGTCATGTTTTTCTTGTGTGAAAATAAAAATAAAACAGGGTATCTTTGTTATGTGACAAACTATTTGTAGATATAATTGATGCAATTTTATTTTCAAGCTATTATTCATGTGAATATTTTCAAAGAAAGCGATGCATTGTTATTGCTATTTTCTTTTGCGGAAGCATGGACTGACACATTCGGTCGCCTAAAGTTTGGTCGCCCACTAAATGGCATTTGAGCTCAAGAGCTCGATGCCATAAAAATTCTTAAGTAGAGAAAAGAAAAATATTCAAATAAATTATTAAGCGAGGTAATTGTTGTCAAAGGGTAATGCCGGGGATGGCAAGGGATACAACTCTGTAATGAAGCACATATTTTGTTTCAAGTAACAATTTACATTGGATTTAGTACAAATTGAAAACCAAACTAGAAAAAAATAAAAATTTATTCTTGAGTTATTAAAATTAAATAATAAGAAGGATGTTAGACTAAGTTTTCTTGTGAGTGTTATTCTCACATTTTCATGAATTTCATCTGCACATTGACTTTATACATTATAATAACCATGTAAACTGCCAATCAAGTTGTACGTGTATTCAGTGATTTTTTTTTTGTTTTTTAAACCACCAACCCCTCCTTTTGAATTGGCGACATTTTCCTCAAATTGGGAAAAATCATTTATAGTACATTAGCATGCTAAAAAATACATAACATAATCAAACTAAGTAACAACAACAGTTTTTGTATCATTTTAACTTTGAATTTGATTTAAATTCATAAAATAATCATTTAAAAAAATTAACATCAATATTTTATTGAACGTGAACACGGCTTATATTTAGTCACACCTTGTAGATTTTATTTTCTTGGAGTTCAATTTTTTTATAATCCATTTGTGTTTAATTCAGCACAAAAATTGATCAGGAACACCATTACAGCAGGATTAACTTCATACATTATCCCTTCAGTTGTCTACTATTAAATTTTTTTAAACAATGTACATGAAAATTCCAAGAACTAAAATATGTGCCAAAATATTTATGATTTGATTCAGGAAAAAAACATATTAACTGTGAACAGAACTTTGCAATTATGTCAGAGAATGTAATTTGTTAGCATTTTTTTTTAAAATCCCCTTTTTTTTTTTAAAAATAAAGTCACAAAAGATAAAAGCTTGCCATAGGTCTATCAGATCAAGCGATAGCAAAATATTTTATTTTAATTAGTTATTCAGAATTGCATGTAGGTGATCATGAAGAAGACGTAAACAAGCATCCCAATTTGGCCACATAATAATGTACAGTGATCAAGCTCTCCTTCACAAACACCTTGACACTTGGCCTAGTCTGTGTACATGTATTTCCAAACTCGTGCACAGGTGTTTTAGCAGACAGGAAGTGTTAAGCAATCAAATCATTGTACCTGCATGGCAATTAACCAAAACAATATAAATCTTTTACAATTTTTTTGAAAGACATGTACATGTATTATATGTTGTACAGTATATGCAATCTTTATAATGCATTTGTTATATTTCAATATTCACTTCATTAGGTTTTACAGAATCTTGAAATGGTATCATATATTCTGGGACACTCTGTATATGGTAACATAAACGGATTATAAAAAATTACTGCAGAGGCAGATTCTGCAACTTCAAATAAAGGAGGGGGGGGGGGTATAATTTGAAACAAGAGGCCCAAGGGCCTTGAATCGCTCTTCTGATAAACTGTACAACCTATCACTTCTATTTGAAGCCTCTATGTATCCTGTATATTTAGATAAAGCCTTGAAATTCCAAAG